TTGGTTTGGTGTTTGTTTTTTTTTTTTTTTTTTTTTTTCTTCATTTGCAGGGTTAATTTAGTCATTTGTTCTCACAGGAAGTGAATACAGTAAGTTTTCAAAATATTATAAAAAGGTGTGTGTGTGGGGGGGGAAGCAGCAGCTGAATTTCATGACCTGACTTAAAACCCTAGATTCATGTTTCTGTTGCTGTTTTACTGCTAACCTGGGAGGTAGCTGCCCTGAATTAAGGATGATTTTTTTTTTTTTTAATTTGACTTTTGTTTTTCTTTTGTAGTCATTCTTGGTAGTGTCAAACCCCCTTGCTGCAATTTGACCTATGCATTTTATCCTTTAAATAAATAATGAGCTCTTAACTGGTAGCATTGAGATGTGCAGCATGAACAAACTACCACAAAAAAACCCCAAATTATTGTAAATTGACTCCTTCATAGTCATAACTGTCTGTGTGCATATTCACATGATGCCAATGAGTAAGATAGAGATTATTTCTAGGTAACTTCTTTCATTTGAGAAACTACCTCTTATATACAACAGGCCAGTAATGTGTGACACTGTATGCAAACAAATTAACTGCAAAGAGTCTAATGGGAATTAAAAATTGTTACCCTGTGTAATCTTATTGTATCAAAGCTTTTGGTTTATCACCATGAATAAAAATCCTGCCTGTTTACATCTACCCTTCAGTAGCTGCATGTCGCCCAGCTTTCGAAGATGTAATATGTTAAATTACAAGTCTCTGTCCCCCTTTGCACTCTGAAAAGGATTTGGTGACTCCTGGAAGCAAGAGCTGGAATTTGGAATTTGAACTAAGAGTAGCTTTGATTTTATTATTGTTATGGTTTTTTGGTTGTTTGTTTTTTTTTAACTTCCATAAGTGATTTTTATGATAGTTTTTACCGCTGGTCTGAGATGAAGACAGGCCACAAAGAAAAGAAAAATGCAGAATTAATGCTAAGTTTCTGCATAACTGGCTGGTTTTTCTGCTTGCTTAAAAAACAAATAAACAAAAACCCTGAATGTCTGTAGAGAAAAACTGCCTTTACAAATGACAGGATTAATTCCATGAGCAATTCCTACCTGCCTCAGTGCTTGTGGGAAATGCTAAAGCAAAATAATTATTTCCAGACTATTTGCTCTAATGCTAGGACAGCAGGGGACTTGCAAGCTCTGGTTTCATGGGAAGACAAAATATAGGAGACTGTAATTTGTCAAGGAGAAATTATTTATAGAAATTACTTCCTTGAAAACCTTTGGCACTGAGAGTTTTTTTCATGATCGCTTTGTGATTTATTTTTTTTATTTTTTTATTTTTTATTTTTTTGCTGAAGGCAAATGTTAGTCATAGACAATTGCTGAATGTGGTCTCCAGTCATCAGTGGTATGAGACAGTGTGGATATGTGGAAGCAAGTTCACTCTTAATTGATCTTTCTTGTCATAATAATTATTCTTTGTTGTCCTTTAAGTAAGGAATTAGATTGATAATAGGCATTTCTTTATCAGCAGAAATGTGGGTAGTGAGAAGTCCGTTGATGAAGGTAATGCGCTTGCCTTTGTGAAGGGGAGTAGAGGGGAGATATTGCCCACAGGGAGCTTTGACTCTAGGCAGGGACGTACTCCTGCTTCTAGAGCAGTGGCTTTTGCTGCATGTTCATTTAGTATTGCATACTGCAAAGTGCTCTTTCAGCTCTCAGTTCAAAATTCCTTGGCAGTAAATAATGACAGAAATGTTTCATGCGAATTGACCACAGTATTACGTGTGGGGGATTTTTTTTTTTTTTAAATAATGCCCTAAATCTATAATGCTATACGTAAAAAGAGGAGACCTGGTAAGTACTGCAGTTCAGCAAACAATTGTGGTTAAAAATAGGTATATTCCTACATCAGCAAGTAGATTCATGCCAAGATAATTGGCTTTAATATTTAGTGATGTGAGACTGCCTGTTTAATCCAGTCAAACTGATCCTTATTGATCTAAAATGAAAAACTCCACTAGAAATTCGTCAAGGTGGAACCTGATAACTAATGAATTGATATAGCTGGAGCTCAGAGATTGAGGAAATGGTTGCAAAATCTGTGTTAGTTGTATTACGTTCTAAAGACTGAAAGTAAATCAGGCTTCCTTTTGCTTACGTGTGCCAAATGATTGACACACCGATGTTTGTTTGCATTTATTTATTTATTTATTAAGTGTTGAGTAAGTATATAGCTTATGTATTCTTCTGCCTTCCAAGGTCATAAAAATATTTTTAATATTCCAGTCAGGGTTTAAGTCTGTGTAATATTGGCACATGGGAGTACTGAGTTTCCTTTTATGAAAACAAAACATAGTCATAAAAATTACTATTTAATGAAACAGTTTTGGTTTTGTTCTTTGTTTCTGGTTTTTTTTTTTTTTTTTAAATAACACTTGACCACATTTTTCAGGAACTTGTCTCAGTGATTTGTGTCACAGGCATGAGAAACTTTATTTTCAAAAATGCATTGAAAATAAACTTTAAGGAAGCCACACTTATTAGTAGCAACACAGGCTAATGAAACCAGCCAATCCGTCTTTGTCCATTTGTTTTGTCTAGTTTTTTGGTTTTGTATCTGTTTGAATGAGAATAGATTAGATAGCTTCCTGGTTTGCCCCGTGTGATCCTGCACGTTCTGGTATGTGTGGGTGTCAAACCTCACAGGGAGCGCTTAAATAGTGGGATCACAAGTTCTTCTTAAGCAATTCTCGTGTTTTAGCTTTGGCTACAAACTACTCAAATATGTTCATTTATGAGAAAGTCAAATTCACAGCAGTCTTCCCTAACTATACCCTGTCTAAGCATATTTTGAAATCCAAGGATTCGCTGGTCATTGGAAACACGTAGAACAAAGACTCTGAGCTTGCGTTGCGTTTCTTTGAGCATCTAATACATTTAAAGGAAAAGCCAGCAGTCATGTTTTGTACTGCTGCTGCTTTTCGGGGTGAAACCTATCGGTGTGCGTCTGAGGTATAGATCGTCGCCTGTATTATAGATCCCATTAGACACGTGACCTAGATGTATTTTTCCAAGCTGTGAAGCGATTCTCTCCCACAGTTTTTTCTTGCCTCCCTTGTTCCTATGGTAACCATGCACTCTCTGTCCTCGCAGCGAAGCGCTGAAGCTGGCAGCTGCTCAGAAGTCCCAGCAGCTTGCAGCTTTGCAAGAGGAGAACGTGAAACTTGCCGAGGCGCTGGGCAGGAGCAGGGACGAAGTCACGAGTCATCAGAAGGTAGAGTGGCTAGAACGTTTCCTGATCTGTGGCTAGAGGTTGTTGCAGTTTGACTGGCTTAAAGCGGCGTGCGTGCTATTTCCACTGATGTCTGGGCGACGCTGCGCTGTGTGTTTGTGATTTTAAAGATGAGTTGTTCTGAGAATGTTTTAAAATAGATTTGGAAGCCACCTGCATTGGGAGGTTAGGACTGCAGGCTAACAGAAGGTTATATAACCCCTGAAGGATACTTAGGAGGCTTGGAAAGAAGCATAAATTAAATGTGCTTTAGCCAAATGTATTAAAAGACATTTGCTATTTCTGTCAGGAGTAATTTTGTTATACAAGTATGGAAATCTCGACCTACCCTATACTAAAGGAAGCTAGCTGCTTAACTTCCCTTATTCCTACTCCTCCCTTCCCCATTCCCCACTAGAAGAGAATATGTAGGATATCTTTCAGAAGCCTGTTTAAAACTACTTGGGCGCTCTCTATAAAAAGTGCTATGCACATGCATGCTTGCTCAAACTTCATACAGTTCATGTTCGTGAACACTGTTGCAGCCAGTTGGTGAGTACCGGAGGACTGGAACTGATGTTAAATTTTGTTCTGGTAGTAGTTTGCAGCGAGGAGGGATTTTTATTATTTTTATTTTACAGCTTATAACACTAGTACTTGCCAAAAGATGATAGATTTATAGCTGTTAAATGTGGTAATGTGGTGAGGTTATTGTTCTTTTTCTTTGGGAACGGTTTTGATGCCATGCCATGCCATGAATGTATCTTTGGAAGACCTGGTTCAAAAGCAAGAGCTTATAAGACATGTATGTACTGTCTTTTCTCAGATAGCACTTGTGCAATAGAGGGTATGCCTGTTTCCAGTGACAGTTGAACAGATCCTTTCCATTCTGCCAAAGAGCCTGATGTTTTTAGAGCCAAGAGGCTGACTTTTCCTCAGGGACCCTGTTTTGAAATATTGAGGATGGGTAACTACAGAATCTGTCCTATTTCTAAATCGTTTTGGCTACTGACAGGAGTAACACATGAGCCTCTTCATCCTGAAGAGCCTTTGGAGATGACTAACAAGAGTCCCAGACGTGTGGGCTCAGCCACTGACTCATGCCGCATCTGAGTAGTGATATGACAAGAGAACACTGTCGTCCTAAACAGCCAGTGGGAGCTCTGCTCCCCTCTCCCACATATTTTCTTAAATTATTTCAGAATCTTTGAGGGTACCCTGTCGTATTCAGAAAAGGTTGTAACTTGAGAAGGATTCAGCAACATCAGCCTACATCATATGTAACCAGAGGTAGTAACCAGACCACCCTTCAGTCCACAAGGCATAGGCTGGCAGTAGGCACTGCAACCTTGATGCGCATGTCTGACCTAGCTGTGTATCTGTCAGCAGAGGTCCTCTCTCATTCCCAGGACCGAGAGTTGCAATCTGTGAAGCACAAAGAATAGTCGGTCATCTTGCAAATTGGAATAGTCTCAATTGGCTTACACCATGGCCTTTTCTGTCTGTGAGTAGAAGACTCCAAGATCTAGTATTTGTGAGATCTGCTAGAGCTTGGAGAAACGGTCCGATTACCACCTTTGGCCCTTTGTGTTGCATTTAATCCTTTTCTGTGAGGAAGACGTAGTTTGAATCTTGCAAACATGGAAACGCCAGCTTTTACATTTTTTTTAAATACAGTTTTTGGGCCATGGTACCTTTAGGTCTAATGAACTGTGTGATCTTTTAAAAGACTGGAAAGAGGCCTTCAGTATTCCAGGGAATTCTATCATGGCAAAAGGAACAAAGGTGAAATGGTGTCATATAAAACGCAGGTATTCGTCCAGGTGTCACGTAACTAATGAATGCAGCTCTTCTCAGTTCAGTATTATTCAGCTCACATTGGTGAAATGTGCTGTGTATCTACTGCAAACTGCTATGTATTTCCTGGTTGCTTGGGAGTGAAAGCAGATGTTCTCCTAAAAAGCATTCCCCATCTCATCTGGAGTGTATAAGATGCCCTTCTTTTCAGTCTGATAGAGACCTACCACCCTGAGGAATAGCACTCTTTTCCTCTCCCTTTAGATCTTACCTAACCTAAACTTGCAGTCCAATTGTTCTACCTTTGATTCTGCCAGGTTCTCTTAATGAAATGATGGCAAAAGTAACTTGCCTTGAGGGTTCTAGCTTTGACAGCCCTGCCTTAGGCTAATGCAATTTCACTAATTCTCCTGCTGCTTTCACTTTGCTGTCATTAGGGTGAACGTACAGCATATTTGGGCACAGAATACTTCTGGATTTCACGGTTCAGGTTTATAGAGAAGGGAAAAAAAGGTTACAGGGAATAATTTCTCAATTTGATTGTAGAGATCAAGTGTCCATCCTAACAATGAAGAGGTTTATCATGGAGCAGAATTGCTTGTGGAGCTGCGTTTTATGCGTTGGATATTGAAAAAGTGGACAGCAGGGAGGAGAGCACAAGAATGTAGCAATGTTTTGGTCTGTGTGAGGTTTCGTGTGCATGTACCTATTAAAATGCAGTAAGAAAGGTAGCAAGCATATATTTTAAGTGTTTTGAGCAGTTGCTATGGTAGCTATAAATTCTAGCGAGTGTCTTAGTCAATTGGGTTAGTGAATCTGTGACTGCATGTGACACACTTTGCAAAATTAATGAATGCTGTTTCATGAATGATTTATCCTGGCATCTAAAGGTTAAAATGTCTTATAGTAAAGATGCTGAGGGGGGTTTTATCTGTATTGATTCATAAATAATTAGCTGTTTGTAATTAGTTACAGACTCCCAGTCAGATAGATAGCTTGAGGAACTCTTCTGGCTTCAAATTATCTGCTGTTATATTTGGGGATCCTCAGACCTGCCCAGACCTTCTAATTTCATTGGAAAAACTGCAGCTGTTAGCTCAGCTGGCCCATCTGTTTAAAAAGGTATGGGTGAAGTCTGCTCTGAGGCTGAAGAGAGAGCGAGCAGATTGCTGGAGAAACATGGATGAGAGAAGGAGTAGCCTTTCTCCCCTTCTACCACAAAGCCGCTCAAGGCTTGATCCATGACTAGATGCAGCTGCAACAGTGGTTTAGAAGCTGCACAACTCCCGTAACATCTTGTTCTCCTTTTACTTTTCTCTCTTAAATCCACTCCTAGCTTGGCCTGTTCAAAAATCGCTCGGCTAGCTCATCACAGCCAACCATGTAACTAACAGGGAGGAGAAGTACAAGGTTTATGCTCACAGTCTTAAAGCATTCCACAAATAGTGGAGGATTTCTGAGGTAAACAAGTTCAGAAACCGTTTCTCTGCTCACAGTGTTTTCCTGAAAGGAGCTGATGTGAAAGAAAAGTGTTTCTGTGTTGGGGAAAAGGGCACCTTGGAGCACTGTGGGCATAGCCTCTGTGGAGCAAAGAGCGAAGAGTGTCAGTATGAGGTTTTTCCAACTGCAAGTGGCAGTCAAGAGCACAAACACCAAAAAGTTGAGCTATGCCCTGGTGCAGTGAAGCAATTTGTGGACTGTGGCTTGTTAGTGCCGGGTTAAAGTTGCACTGTGAGGCCATGTGGAAATGCAAATGCTGATAGAAGAGAATTAGTCCCAAAAAAACTGGGTTGAAAAATCGTGAATCAAGATAAAATAGAACATTTATTGGGATTTACAAATGAAAAATTTCTCAGAAGTTTCCCATGGTTTTTTCTTCTCTTCTTTGTCATCAGGGTGTATAGATAAAAGGAGTTCAAAGTGATCACATAGGCTGCCAGTGTGTAGGAAGCAGACAAAAATCCTCAGAACCAGGGGATGTATTTTGTGCTGCCAGTGAAATTGCTATTTTTGACTTGCCTGCAGGAAAACTTTGACCATACCCCCACGGTACTAAGCTGCTCAGCAGCCTTACACAGCTCATCCTTGTGGTCAGTTGCCATTACAGAGACATTTCAGTTTCTTTGGGACCTTTTAATATAGGTTCTCTACGCTCTTCTAGCATCTATTAATAATACAAGTAAAGTTGTCTGACTAAGCCCCAGCAAAATGATACCATTAATCCTAAACCTGGAAGGCTTAACACCATAGCAGGACATGAAAGGAAAAGGTAAGTTGTCACAAAATATGGAGGAGGCAATTATCTGGCTGAGCTGCATTAGCCTAGAGTTGGAGGCTGGCACACAAACGCCCTTCTCTTTGGAACTTGCTTTGCTCTGGAAACTGCTTAATACCCTCTTATGCCCATCTGTGCCAAGCTTGAATGTCTGCAGAGTGTTAGAAGTATTTATTCAGCGATAGACTTTCCTGTTGTTCCCAGGACACTGAGGCATTCTTTTGAATGTACGTATAACTAATCTTGTGGATAGACATTAAAAGCTTGCGAAATCTAAACAGAGGTTGTGTTCAAGGCATACGCGGTTGTTAGTGTAAGTAGTTCTTTTGGGCAGTAGTTGCTGACAATGGCCGCTGAGTAATTATTGGGAAGGGGAAAAGGATGGAATGAGGAACAAAAATTCATTGACTTGAAAGATATTTAGTCTCTAACCTTCTCAGAAGCTCTTGGTTACTCCACTTTATCTGCTGTGGTGGGTTTGGGGGGGAGGTTGTTTTGTTTTGCTTTTGTGACCCATGTGTGCCTGTCAATTTAAACTCCCAAGAACCTGCAGAAAAAATACCTTCAGTTGAAGGTTTTACATATTGAACAATATGTGTTTGTGTTGTCCCAGGAGAAAATTGACTACTTCAGCAGAAGAATTTTGGGCTCCAGAACCTCTTCCAAGTTTGTTTTATGATGATAACGGTGCAATGATATGTTAAACTAAGCAAGCAATCCCTAATGTATTCACTCTGTGCTCTCTAACTTCTATATTTGTGTTTTAGCTGGAAGAGGAGAGATCGGTACTCAATAACCAGTTATTAGAGATGAAAAAGAGGTAAGTTCTTCTGACGTGTGTTTAACTACACAGTCCTACAGAAAACATGAGAAAACATAATATGAAAATAGTACTAATTAAAAAGCAGATCTTTTATATTGAAAAGTCCTGAAGTTGTTGCACAGATTGGCTTATAGATGGTATTCTCTACGCTTTCTTTGCTAACATTGAGATGAAAACGTATCTCTATTAATATAAGAACACGCTAAGAAATGGTATTTACTTTTTCCTCTTATTTAGTTATACACTTCTTACGTTATGCTAGTTCCTCTTCATTTTCAGTAATCAGCTTAGTGTTTGGTTTTAGTCCTCTCTGGAGTTCTGGATTGTCCATGCATGCATGCAGACCCTCACCAGTTAAGTTCTTACAGAATAGTAGAAAATTTTAGTGATGCTAAGGATGGTTATTAAAAAAGGAGGGGCCTCCCCCTCCAAGCAATCATTCAGCTCTGAATGGGTTGTTTTTATTGTTTTGAGATATTCATTGGACCGGTAGTTACTGTAGTTCATTCAGCACTGTTTTTAAATACCAGGAGATTTGTCCTGGGTGACTGGGGCATCCCTTTTGTGAACTCTGCTAGTCAATAAGCAGTCCCAATTACAAAACATGCTGTCTTTCTGTTGTACATGGGGAAAGCTAATTGGCTAAGTGCTGTAGTATGCCTAGAAAAATGTAGATTTTTCTGAAAGAATTTATATAAACTGTTAGGAAAAGATGCAGCTCTCCCTGATGCCAAGTTTGTTCCAGGAGAAACAAAGAAACAAAACCCTGTTTGTAATTTCCTGCATCAGTAATGACAGGGCAGAGAACAGTGAATGGCACGTTGGTATTCGTGCACTTCCTTAGCTATTCAGTGCATTATTCCCTAATAATCTGATATTTGGGGGTGGGTCACACTGTTAAACATCACCTTTTTTTAAAGGTCAGCGTGCACATGGGGTATGACACAAGCCAAAGCTTCCTCAGAGAACGTAACACCTTGATTAGTTGCCATAAGTAGAAGCAAAATAAATAGTTGAAACTCCAATTTTAACCAACCTTTTGAACTAGGTCACTTGGTCTTTAGCTGCAAGGGTTTTTTTCTTTTTTTAAGAGGTGAAGGAGAAGATAGGCAAAAAGACTTCAGCTCATGTAAATTATCATAGACGTTTTGACATGCACAGACATTAATAAGTTTACACCAACTGGGGACTAGCTCGAGAATAGCAGAAGTGGAGGAAGGGAGGGAAAAGGAGGATGATGTTAGTGCTGCTGACAGCTTTGCAGCTCTTTATAGCCATTATTTAACATGTTTAAAAATATTCTAAATGGCTGTGAAAGTTATATAGCGTAACTCCTGGAAGTTACTTTTACCTTGAGGGAAGAATGGAGGCAATAGGGCCCCAAGACTGCCCGAGTAATTTCTAGCAGTTCTGTTTCCTAGTATATATTTTAAATTCAAACGCTGCAGTAAGTTATAAGAAGCAAGGTGTGTGGCTCTGATTTTCCTTCTCCTGAGTTTGATTTTTTTCATATCTGCACCAGACATAGCTAATTGTTAACTTTATGTATGTCTTTACTCTGTGTGAGCTGCCTGAAATAAACCTAGATACTTGTGTAATTGTTAAAGTGGATCTTAACATTGCTTTCTGGGTTGTCAGACAGGTTTATCTTTGCTTACCGCCAGTCAGTTTCACTGAGATGCCCAAGTTTGTTCTGACTGGGTTAATGATATGTTTCTCAACAGTATTGGATAAACTCCAGCAGACAGGGTAAAATAAGTAGCAGGAACAGTCAGGTTCATTGAAACAGACTGCAAGCCACTAGATGTCAAAATATGCATATAACGTATGACATTACTGCTAGCAAAGACAGTTAGACTGAATGAAGAGGTAATTAAATAAAGTATATATTCCAGAATTCCACCGAAGTTGGTGATGAGCAATGTTTTCTTTGTTTGCTTCGTTATCTCAGGCTTTTAGGACAAGAAATGCCATATCTCAATTAGGCCAAATCTCTAGCAGCAGTTCTCCCATCTCCGTCCACCCACAGAAATTGTCTTCCTTTATTGTGGCAGACTTCCCCTATGAAATAGTCCAGCTAGGAATGATGAGTGTTTAATATTTATGAATCTAAGGGGATTCTGTGTTACTTCAGTTCATTAGATTCATTGTGGGTTGCTAACTGTCTTACTGTCTCTGAGCTTGCGCTACTTATCGATACTCATTTCATTCCTCTCTCTTCCCTTTCCTACCCTTGCTTCCTTTGCTATATCTGTGTGTCTTTAATGGTAAGACTCAAGAAAGTCTATCCACGTTACAATAAATAATTTTTTTTAAGTAAAGTTGTTGTACATATTTTGGCTGCCTTTGTCCCTTGGTGTCTTGCTTTTGTTTTGTAAAATATTCAGCTCTCTCTATATATATATATTATATATATAAAAAATATAGATTATATTTTTTACCAAGACAAGAAAGCCCCTTGGTGCAAATTTAGTTCTTCCTTACAGTATTTTGCATTTCTATTCCACGTTTCTAACATGTGGTTCTTGTTATCTTGCATTTTTAAAGCTTGCCCAGTAACACTTTAAGGTATTTGCCGCATTCTTAGAATTTCTTGTTTTTGTGGTAAGGGAAGAATCTGGGTAATTTTTTTAAGGTTTAAAAAAAAAAAAAACCCACCTCTTTCCCATGACTTCCATAGACTATTCAAAGTATAGTTTAACCTCCTCATGAAAGTAGAATTTTTAAATGGCATGCGAAATGATAAAGTAGTTTAGTAATGTTTTTTATTATTATTCCTTCAGATAAGCACATGTTTTGGCCATGAATTGGCAATGGAAGGGTTTAAGTTGACTCTGTCAACTTTCTTTTTTTTTTCCCCCCCTCTGATAAAATAAATGTTTTCCACAAGATTTTTCTTGCAAGTAATCAATATTTAGTTATTTCACATTCAACATATGCTCCTCAAGTTTACTGCCCCCCCCCTCATATGAATCATATTATAAATTGGAACGGAGAGCATCAGTAGGGTAGATTCTCTGCTGCTGCTAGCAGTGATCTGTGATCCAGGCTCAAGTGTAAAGAGTTACTGACATATACCTACTATATCTGTAGGCTTTCCAGTTTACCGCTCCAGTTAGAGGCACTCTGAAATGTATAAAGTTTGAAGTCTTGTTTCTATATAGAATGTCCTGTAAAAGAAAAAGAATGCTACAAAGTAGGGACCCTTTTCCTCCCCTCTTGTTTGCTCTCCTCTTTCTTATCTTGTTTCTCTCCCCTTGTGTTACGGTAGTCTAGACTCCTATATTGCATTTGTAAATATATCTGTATACACTCTCAAACCGTTTTGCCTTTTTCAACCACCTAAATGCTTGTGCCTCCCTTTTACCAAGGCCAGTAAATGGCAAGCTAACCGTTTATGTGCAAAAAAAACATGTTTCTGGTCTTGATCTCTAAGATGAGGATCTGACCAAAAAGTGGAAACATTGGCTTAATAACAACTTCCTGAGCATGAGACAAGTTGCTGGGGTCCCACCTGCCCTTCTACAGCTGCGTGAAGAGCAGAGAGAAACCTGGGCGAACTCTCAGGTATGGGAGAGCTTGTGAGCAGCAACTTTGATGCTTTAATGCTCGTACTTTAATGCTTTCCCGGTCTTAAAAGCACAGAGTTGCAGCTCTGTGGACTGGAAAGGGCAGCTGCGCTTGTCAGCAGCCTTCTTCCCCAGCATCTGATACGTTGGAGGGACGTTTGTCCCACCCGTGTTTTCTCTTGCACGCCTCTGAGCTTTTGACCCAAATCAGCAAAGCATTTTAAAATGTGGGTTAGGCTCGAACATGGAAGTGTTCCTGCTGAAGAAAACAGATTGCTCTAATGTTTTTAGTGCTCTGTTGAATCAGGGTTGGCAAAGGATAATGAGGAGGTCGATTAAACGTTGTTGCCCTTTTTGTTAACAGGAGTATAAGCTTGTTTTTGAAGGCGAGATTGTGCAGTCTGCAGTTCATTGTGTTTCTGTTTATATTAATTCTCTCATTGTAAAAATATACCAAAAACAAAACCAACCTTTTGATTCTTGTGCGGTGGCCGCACCAACGTTTCTAAACCCCAGATTCTCCACTTGCTGCTTCCGTTCCCGAGTATAATCTTAACAATGAAAGAATTACATTAATTGTGCTCTCGTTGTCGAGTTGCCTATTTATCTTGAGTCACTGAGATTATTTCATGGTCTGGGTATCGTGGCTCTCACTAACTGTAGATACCATGGTTATGAAAACTTTACAGTTTGGGCCTATCAGCTATCCCCTACTTACTGTGCACAATGTCACACACAAGGACATGTTCTGCCCCTTGAACAGTCCTAAGAGATTGTAGTGTTTAGTTACTTGGATGAAATCACTATGCCATTTGGTCTCTTTGAAGTATTGGCTACTTCACACTCTGTATTTTGTACTGAATACACATTCTGATAGGTTAGTTCGCCAGCCCTGAAAACTAGTAAGAAGAAAAAGCAGCTAACTTCAGCAGTGAGCCTGATTTTTCTAAACTGAGATGCGTGAAATTGCACAGAAAACGGACTTCATCTTCAGAAGCTTAGTTGCACCCTAGATAAGTAAGCAGATTTTGCAGTGGCAATAAATGCTTTTCAAAAGGACAGAAGTCTTTCAGCTTGTAAGGAACTATAGCAGTAGCCCTGGCATCAGGGGACAATTATTCATGTGTGCGTGTATTTTGTGACCCATCGGGAAGACTTGTTAGTATTAGTGTGAGAATGCCATAGCCTGCAGTTCAGCAATGCCCTCTCAGCTACCCCACAGCAAGGGGGCCGGATCTCTCCCGTACTTAAGTATTGCTAATGCAATCAAATGACATCTAGGCTGTTGAAAGCCCTTGTTCCCGTCGCTACCTTAAATGGGGTGGTGCTGAGTCTGTTCCAGTCTGGGGTTAACTGTAACTGTGGTGCCGACAGGGTACGGTTTCACATCACCTGTTAACTCTTTGGATTACTTTTGAAAGCATTAGTTCATGAATACAAAAAGCATCAAATGCTTTTCAGTTATTCTGATGCTGGGTATATGGTAGCCACGATGCTCTAAGGACACCATCAGAACAGTAATTCTAGGTAGAAGTCATAGCTCTTATTAGATCAACTGAAAAAGTTAGGAAAACAGACAAAATTGTACGTAGGGAGTGTTTATGCCTGCTTTGGGGGTTTTCTTTTTAGAGCTGCCTTTCAGGAAGTAAAACGTTACAACTAGTTTTCTGCTGAAACAGTAGCTGTTAAAGGCCCAGAAGTTCTCAAAGTATGCATCTCTGGCAATCATGATGTTATTGAAATTAGTGAGGACCAGCTGATATTTCCAGTATCATCAATGCTTTGCATGACAACTTGTATAATGAGCTTTGCATGTATGTTTTGTTGCTTGTTAATAATTTTCAAGAAGTAACAAAACTCTGAAGTTAGGTTTTGTGGAACATTCTGTGAGAAATGTTTGTTTATCCTATATCTTCCCAGTTTATTAACTTGTTTGTTTAAATTCAAATGGATACGATGATATGCAGATTCTGGCATGTACTACGTAGGTAAACTTTTTGCTTTGTTTCCGCAGTTGTAAAATCTGAAATGTGTATACATATAAACAAATCTCAGTCGCATACAGAATTGAAGTTTGTTTTTAAGAACCACTTTTTACAGTAGTCTTAATATTTGGATTAAAATTATTTGGGCAACAACAATAAACTCTTCTTTAGATGATTTCTGGTTGTATTTGGTTTTCTTCTAGAGAATCAACATTAAAAAAAGAAATTGATGAAGAGAGAGCATCTTTACAAAAATCCATCAGTGTTACTAGTGCCTTGATCACACAAAAGGATGAAGAACTGGAAAAACTCAGAAATGAGGTACAATTTTGAAAACGCAGCGGTCAGGCTGCTAGATGTTTTGCTTTTGTAAGTCTGTTGTATTAGGGTGGTTATAAACTTGGCACATAAAGGTGATAGTTTAAATCTTTGCATAGGTGTTGATGGAAGATTTTTTTTTTTTCTGTTTAAAGAGATGTTGCATCTTTGCAGCTTTCCTTGTGATTTTCAGAAGTCAGTGCTTTGAACAGCAAGATGCTTCTCTTAATTTTGGATTAAAATAGGGGTATAAGTGTCTGACTTGCAGTAGTTGCTACTAAAGAGTTGGCTAATTCTCTTTTTACTTGACCATAGCTAAACCTTAGAATTAAATCTGAAGATATCTGTGCCTAGTTCAGAGGACTGCTGACGTATTTTGGGTGGCTGTTTAGCCCGTACTACTAAGAATGTTCCATTGGTGTTTTGACTTCACTCTGGACGGCCTAAACGTTCGCAAATAATTCTTGCAGATCACAGTGCTCCGTGGAGAAAATGCTTCTGCGAAAACCTTGCAGTCAGTAGTTAAGTCCCTGGAGTCTGATAAGTTGAAACTTGAAGAAAAGGTGAAGAACTTGGAGCAAAAACTCAAGGAAAACAAGAAACAGCCTTTAACTGTAACTAGCTCCTCAGGTAAAAGGGAGAGCTGTTTGCTCTCTCTATGGTTTCAGCTTTAATCTTCTTGTGTACTGAAGTCAGCTATTCACCAGATAGTTAAAAGGAAGTTTAACTAACAGACTGCCTGATAAATATGGCTTTCCTGTTGTAGGTCATGTGCAAAATTTGAATGAAGGGAATCGGACTGACTGTAAAACAAGAAAAGCTAGTGACATTACCAATTCACCTCCCTTATACTAGGGGTGGGGGCAATTTGACCTGAAATTAAACATTTTGGAATGGTTTATGCATATCCCCTCCATGGTATAGACTTTCTGTCCAAGAGCCTTTCTTAGACCGATTGTTTTTCTTCTTGTTGCTGCAAAGTAACTTGTAGGCATCATAACAAAATCACCTACCTGACCACAGGACTGGCAATCCAACATTTTAGACACTCGTTCTTTCCTTTCCTGAGCTTTGTAAGGGCTGGACCACCACAGTCTCATCTTTGTAACAGAAATGAGACTTTCCTTGCAGATTTGTGAACTACAAAAAATACATATATTTCTGTATTTAAATAAATAATGTGCAGAGTTGAATATGCTTCTGTAATTCACTTGTTAAAAAAAAAATACAAAAAGGTTCACACTTGCTGAAGTTCATACTGAATGATCAGAAAGAGGTAAAAATAAGACGTTTAGGAGAACAGAGAATATTACAATATTTCTGTCTCTGACTAAGCCATGGTATGCTTCATAATTTAGGTTACCGGGTATTTATATCTTGTCTTTTTTTCTTTCTTTCTTTCTTTCTTTCTTTTAAGGTGACACTGCCACTAATCTACTTCAAGATGAAAGTGCAAAGGAGAGTCAGGTATTTGGTCTGAAATACCAGCATATTAAAACAGCAATGTGTCTTTAGCAAGCAGAGTGAAATATTTTTCCAAAGACGTTTCCTGTCACATTTTGTAAATCAGGATTATAATGGGCTGATTTTCTTTTCCCCTCTGTTTCTGAGGGGCAAGATTAATGTCAGGAAACATTAAGTGATGAACTCTTACTGGAGAAATAGTTGAGGCTATAGGGGCATGAGGAAACAAGCAGGAAAGCAGGATGTTTTAGCAGGGGTGGCAAGTTTTGACCTACAGCCTGCTGGTGAGGTGCAGCCCGGCAGAGCACGCTTGTAGGGCTCTCCTGTGTTGTTCTTCCAAAGGCTCCTCAGACATGAAGGAGGAGCGAGCTGTGGCCTGTGGAAATGTGCTTGCCACCATGGAGAAAGGGGCTGTCCAAGTGCTGATGCCAGTTCTAAGCTTCTGCAGTTGAAAACGTTTATCTTTGCTATTTTTAACTGCAGAACTTACTCAGAATTGCAGTTGGCAGCAATGGGGTAACGAATTTGCTTAGTTAGAATATACTTGGTAACAATGTTTAGGAGACACTCATGAAAGAGTATGATTATCATGAAGAGCATGTAAAGTGCTGCTGAGCAACAGGCCGTGTGTGACAATAAATGCCTAGGAAACAAGGTTATAATAACAGCACTTTCTGCTTATTATAAAAGTTGTTAGATCACTGATGTCAGTTACTTTGATGTAAAAAAAAAAAAAAAAAAAAAAAAAAAAAAAAAAAGTCCTTCCTAGTAACATAGACTATGTAGAGATCAGTAGTAGTATTATTGACATACTAACCACCTTTTTATGTTTTCTTTCTTTTTTTTTTTTCTTCCTTGCATCCGTTGTATTCATCTACTGCTGGCAACGCTTTCTTCTAATCAGCATATGGTTTGTTCTGCTTCTTGGCTTCTTTTATTTTTATTTGCTATGTTAATTTCCTATGCATTACTTGACCACTTGCCTTTCAGCCTTGGGACAACTTGTGCAGTGCTGCCCTTCTGATCTCTGTGACTCTGTCTGTGGCTCAAACTTGCTTTGTGAGATATGTTTGGAGAGAACGTGTGTGCTGCACTGTCCCACTGCCCCCTCCTGGGTAGCTCTGAGTAACCCCAGTCATCCCTGGTGTATCTGCTAAAACTGCAGGTTCAAAGAAACACACATGCTACTCTGATCAGGATTATACAACTTGTTTTTATGTTTATAATGCAGCATTAAAAAAATAAATTAATCTATCAGTGGTGGGTGGAGACCCACCGACGCCCGTCAGACATGTTGGCCATTGGGTGGAACTAGTTAGCTCCCTGCACAGAAGTTGTATGGAGGGTCTCAGAGGTCCTTTGGGAAATTCTTCACAGTTCCTGCCCCCGTTCTCTCAGTCTCCCCGCATCCTCTCTGTAATACAATGATCTAATGGTCAGAATTAATGTAGATCTGTACATTTCATTTTGGGGGGCATTTATTTGTTGCTTGTTTTCTCTGGAAGTGCAGTCCTGACCCTGCTGACTGTCTTTGTTCTTGAATGTCGTAGATTGACTTCCTCAATTCAGTGATAGTAGATCTGCAAAGGAAAAATGAAGAACTGAAGCTGAAGGTGCAAACAATGTGTGAAGCAGCCCTCAATGGCAATGAAGAGGAGCTAATTAATTATGACAGGTATAAATCTGAAAGGAAAACTTACTTGGTTTGTATTTCAGAAACTGGTGCTACCAGTCAGCTGCGCAACACATCAATCAGTCTGATCATCAGCAGTTGTGAAGGACAAACATGACTTTCTGGTGAATTTAGGGTGATTGAATCCAGCCTTCTTTTAGGTCCATTACTACTGTGAATCTGGTGGTGAGAAAACTGCCATTCTGTGATAAACACTGGTGTATTTTCCCATATTTGCTGTCAGTCTTGGTTGAGTTTGTCCCTTTCCAGATTAAGTAGAAGAGTCTGCTCTTAAGAGGCTGGTAGCTGCATTGAGATGTGGGGATCTTGTCCAGGCAGAAAAGCAACTCAAACCTATTTGAAATCTTCTAACTTCAGATCTCTTCTATTAAGGAGAAAAAAAATTACCCCTTTACTTTTTTTTAAATAATATTTATATCTGTGGATACATTTACACAAAAAGAGCCGGTTTGTTTAGTAATGTTACAGCATAGGGGAATCTGGAGTCCTGTGGGAGGTGTCAGACGAGCTTCAGAAGTGTTTTTGTAATTTCTTCTTGTTGTTGACCATTGTGCTGTTCCCTTGATTTTAATAATTATGAGACAGCTTATTGTGTGAGGCAGGGGAGTAGCCCTTCCTCCTTTATTGAGGAGAAGTATCCTGTCTGACTCATACTGGCACTGATCTTGCAGTGAGGAAGAAAGCCAATCAAAGAAGAAACCTCGCCTCTTCTGCGATATCTGCGATTGCTTTGATCTTCATGACACTGAAGACTGTCCAACCCAGGCACAGATGTCTGAGGACCCTCCCCATTCAACCTACCATGGCAGCAGGAAAGAAGAGCGCCCCTATTGTGATATTTGTGAGGTGTTCGGGCACTGGACAACCAATTGCAATGATGATGAGACCTTCTGATGCAATTCAAGGCCAGGAGAACAAACTGTTTGTACGCACTAACGGGACTGCTTATACCACCAGCATTTGTGTGTGCAGATGTCAGGAAAAGGGACAGTGTTTCTTGACCCCTTGTTCCTGTTCCCCTCACCCATCCACTCCAGAATCAATAAATTGATAAAGTATTTTGCTCTTCCACTAGTAAATACCTTTCTCCCCTTTAATAAACTTAAGTGAAATATAAATAAATGACTTAACAAATGACTTTATGCTGTTTCTTCCCAGCTTTTGGGTTTGTATGATCTCTAACTAAAGATCTGCCCCTATCTACCCTTGCATTTATTAATGGGAAAACGTGTATAGGAGAAGAGTGCTGCAGTTATGTTAAAGCTTATTTAAATACCTTAAAATTATGCTGTTAATTTTCATATTTGCACTAAACCATTAAGGCTGCATTTGTACATGTAGATTTTTTAAGCTTTGTTTGACACTGGAATGGGTTGAGAAATATTTCATCTTTATTTTCATTTACTCATTAACTGTTTTATTGCGCTTCGGTCAATGAATATGAGTGGAGTGCGCTACCCCGCTGGCCGTAGCGCCTTCCTTTTCGGTTTGAATAGAAAAATGACGAAGCAGGTAAGAGAACGCAAGCTGCTGCGGGGGCATCTTTGGAAACGGCGTCTGCTGCGCCCGGTTGGAACAGCGTGTGCGACATCCCCCTTTTTGCGTTCTTTCGGCGTCTATAGAGTGTGCATGTATATACGTATATATATTAAAGTTATATTTTGGGAAAAAAAAAAAAAAACCCGCGTCGTCTTTCCCCCTCTTTTCAGTTCTGCTGGGGCCGGGGGTCCCTTCTGCCATGCAGCAGCAGCAGAAGGGAGAGGCCTTCCCACCTCCTGCCC